CCGGGCTACTGACCTGCCCCCTGGGCCTCAGCCCACCGGCAGGCAGAGATCCTCTCCCCAGGGCACGGAGCTGATGCCTCTCTGCACGGTAGGATTTCACCAGTACTTCTCCATCTTGTCCAGAAATACCTTGTTTCAGAGCCCCGGAAGGAGAGTGGTGGCTATCCTGTAGCCCTGGGCTGGGTGGTGACGCAGTTAAAGAGCCGAAAGCACCACGGGGTGAGGTGCTTTGTAGCCGGGGGAGGATACAAACCCTGCAGCCCCTCCAGTATGTGCGGCAGGTACAACTCCTGCCCCTCGGGCACAATTACAAGACGGGAAGCCTGTCTCGTGATTCCTGAGTGGTGTGGGAAGTTGCAGATACAGTCCTCAGAGAAACTGAAGTTGAGGACAACCAGGTGGCAGTTGGGAACAAAGAGCAGGAACTTGCAATGCCCCCGCCGGCTGCTGCTCTCTTAGCTGTTTTGGGGTGCAGATGGACAGAGGGGAGGTGTTTGTTCCCGGGTCTGTGACCTGTCCGGGGTCCCGTCGCGGCGGGGAGATACCCCACGCACGTCCTGTTGCAGAAAGCCGTAGGCTGCGCCCTCTCAGTCTCCGCAAAAGGTTTTCACAGCGGAGCGTGACCAAGATCCAGGGAGTATCCTCTGCTGTTCCGCTGGCCAGAGGTGGAAGAGGCAGGTGGAGTTTGCCCTGTTTTCTGTGGGTGTTGAGTAACTCTTGTACGGCAGAGCACCGTCATCCACTGCCGCTTCTGCACACGGGCAAGGCAGCTCAAGATTATGAAGGGGCTTCTCGCGTGTTCCAGGTGCAGTTCCATTTTCTTCCATCAGGAAAGGAAGGCCCCAGGGTATTTTTCCGTGGAGAGCCAGGGAAGGCCGCATGCTGCCGTTCCGCGGGAGCAAAGCCCAGCATTCCCTCTGTCGCTGTAAGGCGCTGCTCGACGTGAAGGGGCGCCAGCCACCCCCTGCTCCTCAGATCAGTGCGTATAGCTCCGCGTTTTTCTTCATTTACGTTTCAGCTTCCCTCTCAGGAGCCAACATCCCTTCTCTCGGCACGGACTTCGGTGTTGAGGGGCAGGAAACAAGTGGATCTTCAAGATGAGAAAACATCCTGAAGTATCGTTGGATTGGCATCTGCATTCTAGAGTGCTTCTCCAGAAGTCCTGCTCTCCAGATGTTTCAAGGCTTTACAAGTTTAAGTTACAGCGTGAACAGTCTTATAGAGGGATCCTGGCCAATCTTCTCTGGCCGGCTCTCTATTTTATAAATAATATATATTTTTATTCAGAACAGGTAAAAATTGTTGATGCAAGGGCATTTGCAAAGGCCTTTTCATTTGGCAAACAGCAGGGACCCGAGTTCTTGAAATTCTTCCAAGCCATAATATTCTTGGGTATTTATTTTGAGGCCAATCCTGCAGCTTCTCTGACAAGCGGCGTTTTCTGATGCTCGTGAAGTTGTGGGTCAGTTCAGCTACATGGGGGACAGACCCACGCCAGTTCGGCACTAGATCGAGTTGGATGTGAGCGCGTTAGAAAGTGCTGTGTGTGCACGGGCAGCTGTGTGTGCAAAGCAAACATCCACGCTGCCAGCATCGAGAGTCAGGAATATTGTGGCCATAGATCTATTTTTTAGGAGGGTGTAATTGTCTTAGAGTTTGAGTTTTCAGCCCAATCCTACTTGCAGGCACCCAGAATGGGAAAGGGAGCTTCAGACGGTCTGCTTAAATCCCGAGGGCTCATTCCTGGATCAGTGTCTGGTGGAAAGTTGTGTGTTTACGGAGTCTGGAAGGGAGGTGTAAATTCAAAACCCGAGCTGGGAGCGTGCGCTGGAAGTTCAGCTCCAATGGCAGCAGAGTTCACACCCCACAGAGGTTTTTTTAGCCGTGTAATACTGAAGACACAACTGATGTATTGGATTTTTTCAGACTTCTTCCGAAGTAAACGCTGCTGGCTTAGAGGGTTTGCAGCACTAAGAGGTATCAGATTTTTTCCTTCATTTTCTTCCATTTGCTGTCGGAACGTAGCGCTGGTTTTGTTCTGTGGAGTAGAACCGAGAGCGTGCTGGCAGGATCATACGCTTTTTTCTAGACCTGAAACTTCTTTTACCTGCATGATCAGACCTGGCAACTCCATCACACGTGTGTGAATTAGGTGCATGCTCAGAGTATCAGTACACTGCCTTTAGGATCACTTGTTACCCTGTTCTATCCCGGTTTTGTGTTTATCAGCCCATTTGTGTTGACAGTGACTGCAGAAGCAGCTGCGCGTGCACCAGCACGACAGGTGTCTCTGGCGACAAAGGCCTTGCCTACCTACAAAATCCTTTTTTCCTCTGTTTACTCCGCCGCTGCTTCCAGTGGAAACGTGTCTGCAAGACAGTTTCTGTCCGTAAGAGGAGACGTTTCACTGCCCGGTATAAACCGTGCCCTGCGGGTGGGTATTTTGTACGTCGGGGTCTGTGTTCGGGTTAGAGCGGGCAGCAACCCCCGTACCAACACCTGATGCCGACGGGTCGGGTACTGCCTGGCTTTAGTCTAGGTGACTCTCTGCCTCTGAACGTTCCTGCTTCCACCACGTCTCTTGGGTGGTTCTGGCATCAAACGGCTGTTGAGTGCTCAAACTAGTCCTGCCAACCTCAACCTGCGTCCCTGGTGTAAATCTTGCCGTGCACCTCCGGCTGCGTTCGCTGGAAGATGGCAGGAGAACTCATCACCTCATTCCTGGCAAAATGCATTCTTGGGGGTGGATCTGGAGAGGAGGAGGGCAGCTCACCACCATAGGGAATGTACCGGAATTTAGCACTGATAGAGGTGCTATTTGTGCCTTTTAAGTCTTGGAATTCCTTGCGTATGAAAGCAGGGAGATGATTTGGTGACTTCCCGTTTGGTTCTGCCAGCTGAGGGGTGTTCTTCAGCTGGGAGTATCAGAGCCACGTGGGCTTCCAGGAGGTTCCCGAGCAGGCTCTCGCATCCTCTCTGGACCTGGTTCTGTTCACAGCCGCGTCGCTGTCAGTGTCGTCTCCGCCAGCAGCAGCAGCAGCCGCGGAGCTGCCTACGGGACGTGCAGGCGGCAGCCCTGCCCGCTCTCTAGCTGCGGCACAGTTCGCTGGGTGGTACAGACAGTCAGTTTCTGTCTTCTAATCAGTATTAAACCAGATGTCTTGATGGTAGCGCAGCCATCCGGCTCAGGTTTGGAAAGGGCTCTAGAGGTTTCCAAGTAACTCGCTCTTAGTCCGTAACTTCTCTTGTCATTAGCTGTGGCCCATTTCTCCCTTAACAGCTGAAAAGTGGTTTCCAGCTCAGGGTCAGAAGCAGCTCTTGTTGTTCGTGGATCTCGTGCTGGCGGTAGAGCTCGCGGTGCAGGAGCACCCACGTTCAGAGAACCAGGACTTCGTTGGCTTAGCTTAACATGGCCAAGGGAGGTGGATCCTTGTGGCCAGGAATGCTGAGCCGGCTCACCCAGCCCTGCTGCCGGTTACTCTCAGGGTTATTCCGATGAGATGGTGGAAGCTGGAATAGGAGCACCAGACGCTGTCTGTTGTTCCCCCAGCAGTCATCGGGCAGTAATGTGTACCGCCCGAGTGACAGCCAGCGCTGCTGCTGTTGGCATCTCGCCAGGAACGTCTCTGGACGTGTCCCAACACAGCCGCGGTTTTGCTCGCTGACATCGGGGCACAGAAACGTGAGTTCAGCGCAGGCACAGCACGTTCTGCCCTACCCTTGGGCCGTTCTGTTCATATGTCAGCACTTCACACGTCTCACGTCCTTCCTGGGAGCGAGGACTTCATCCGTCGTAAGCAACTTTTTCAAGTGGATGTCACTGTGTGGAAGAACCAACACTCCGGCTGGATTTTACTGTGGTGCCTGCCACTGTCTTACCCCTCTACTCCTAGGTCAGTGCTCCGAAACGGCTGACCGCGAGCCACCTCCTCACCTCTCCCCCTTCTCTCCCGTTCCAGTCAGGTACACTGCGCGCTCTGAAAAACGAGAGCCACCATCGTACTGGTGTTCCTATGGATAGTTTTGTGGCGAGTCCTGTCTGCGGAATTAAGACTTCTGTGAGCCTGGCTGCATTTTTTTTCTGCTGAATGGGTGCAGGATGGTTCTGGACTGGAGTGAAGGTTGTATTCCGTGGAAGAGGAAGCAGTGCCGGGTGTCTTCGTGGGCTGTACCTACCGCGTGTAGTGCACCGTCGTTGACAAGAACTGGGAAGCTTCCTCGTGGCACTGTCACAGTGAATGCTGCTGCCTGAACAAACCAGGAATGTGATGCAGCAAAACCTGTACTAGCTGTAGCGTTTCAGTTCCGAGTGCTGCCGCGGACTGTAAAGCACAGCTCGGTGTTCGTTAGCTACCAAACCTGACACATAAGGTCTGGAACAGAATATGAATGTCAAGTGTCAGGGAAAAGAAGAATTTACCCTTTCTTCCCCCAGGTTAGTTACAGAATGATGTGCTGCAATGTATCCGGGACCCGCTGCCTCCCGCACGGCCGTTAGGCCAGCGGACGCTCGCACCGCTGGCTCATCCACGCGAGGGTGAACTAGCAGGCCGCGGCAGGCTGCTGACCTTTGTTAAACCAGAATTCATTGACTCAAAGGGTCACGCTTCCGTTGTGGCTCCTGTGGTACAGACTGCCGAAACTGATCCACAGTACTTGAAAATACCCTGATTTTACTGGTGTTTTTTCACTTCTGCTTTGTGGCAGAGCGCTTGCAGAAACAAGCTCGTTCTGGAGCCGTCAGTTAACGCACGCGCCTGGCGGAGTGGCTGTTGGCGTGGGCAGCGACAGGCGACGCAGGCTGTAGCGTCGCCGTTGACTCTTCTGCTTAATGCTTCGTGTCCTGTTCGGAAACCATACCCGCCGCTCCGCAGTTTTGTTCCTGTCCTTGTTCCATCTCCCCCTGAGTCTTTCCTCTTGCCTGGATGCGTAGTGGGAAGATGAGCGGCGTGCCGCGGTGTGTGCCGCTGTTCTGGATGCGAAGTAGGGGAGTGGGTGCCATTCCATTTGATCTGTAACTGTCCTTCACGTCTGTGAGCTATCGGGCGGCGACTCATCGTTCCGGCTCAGCTTGCTTCGCTCAGCCCGGCGAGATCCCCCTTCCTCCATTGCTTTTCTCTTTCCTGAAACCCCTATTTCTTCATTTTCTAGTTTCAGTTTGGAACATAAACCCTGTGAAGTTTACATTTCCGACGTCAGCCCGTAAGCTGGTTATGCGCTCATGCTGCTTCGGGTATTCCTGGGTACGGGGTTTGAAGATGTACAGCAGCGTCTGTAAAACCCCACTGGGTAACAGCCACTCTCCAAAAAAAAAAAAGGGGCGGGGGCGGAACCCCACAACAAAAAAACCCAACAGAAAGGACAGAGGGATTTGCTTCTTATTCCAACTGTGGTTGGAAACACCTGAAGCCCACGGGCATTTTACCTGAAGGCAT